TCTTACTGACTAAAAACCACCCCGTTCCTACTCCTGCACTTTGAGCCGGAACCCCGGTAACATGTTGAGTCCTCTGCAGCTCCATTCAAGAGACTTGAGTCCTGATTCTATCATATAACTAATTAAATGTCTACGTAGCTAGTACCTATCAAACATTATTATCCTTTAAATATAGGTACAATTAATAATTGCATTGATTGTTATGATGCAAAGATAAGATCAAATGTAATTGTACATTTGCAGGTAAATATTTGGAAAAAAGGTTTAATCTGTGTTCCTAAACCGGTTGAAAGATACGACGGCCATTTGCAATCCAATTAATATACTCATTAAACTTTTGATCGTAATATCAGATACGTATAAAAGATTTCTACAATATCTTTGAGAAAACATCTCTTCAAATTATTTATTCTTTGGGTGTTTTAGTAATAATATGGGTAGGTCTTTTAAATTATTTATATTATAACAGAAAACTATATTTATATTAAAACTTTCGTGATATACTAGTTAATAATTATTATGCAGCGCGACAGTCGCCGCGTCGTGTGTCGCGGAATGCTGCTCATAAATATGAGCCTCTAGCATGGCTTGAAACTAGTCGAGTTTCTCGTCAAACGGTTACGTGAGTAAGTCGAAAACATAATAATAAATAACAAAAAAAACTAAATACACTAATGGCAAAATCGTAAACTAGGAATAAAAGAAAATTCCCTAAAATGTCTATTGTAACAGAAAAACACTGATTTTCTGGCTGGATAGTGGTTTTGCCATAAAATTCTGTATTTTTCTGTTTGAACTGAACTAGTTCCTACTAGTTATAAAAACTTATTATATAATATAATAAAACTAGAAATTAATATGTACAACTTAAAGTCATTATCGATATAAAAGGATATTAAACTCATTACTTATCGCCTTATATGTCACCTCTTTTGAGCAATTAATTTAATTTCTTAACTAGGAACAAATATCCAGTTAGTTTATAGAAAAACTAGTCTTATAGTCCGCATATTAATCACAAGTGTAAGGGAAAAATTAATTATGACTACCACGAAATAATAAGGATACTTAAAACACCTGTCTCTATAACTTTATAAAATGACACAGGCCTATGTCAATGCTTCCTGGTGATTACATATTGTACATCCTATTCAAGATATAATTAGCCACGCAGAGGAAATTATTAAATTATCAAACTGTACTCCTCCATTACAACCTTATTACTAAGTCCTTGAAATCATGTAATGACCATATCCACATGCAAAATGTAAACAAACAGTCGTGTATTGTTTCCTTCAACAATATAATAAATATCATTTACTTACTATTGAAATGCGGCAATAAAAATAGGCGTGCATACATATTTATACATTTGACTGAATTTTTAACTTGACTGAGACAAATACACTTCATTAATTTCAAGAAACTTTATACGTAATAAATTTTATTTCTTACTCAAGTACTGATAGATTAACATTGTTTTTTCATTTCTATTATATTTATTACTGTCGCACACAATAACTTTATCAACTTCACATGGACATTCTGCCTCGAGGGATTTACCTAGGCGTAATTATTTCTTTCTCGTCACGTACCCGTCAAACAAATTGTCGGTGAACCAGCGGAGTATGTTGGTTGCAAATGTCAATGGTGCCCGGAGCAGCATGCGCACGCACTAGTCGATGTGTACGCTATTAATGCGAAATAACTATAATTTAGGCGACGCCGGCGTTTGGCGTTTAACCGCCAGCCTCTGGAAAGGCGACGGAAGCCTGTCACAGACGCAATTACAGTACCGAGAATCGGCATTAGTTCGTCGTGTTGAACTATTTATGTATGTAAAATAAGAACAGCCTCTCGTACGGGGAAACGGCGATTGCACGCATCTCTCATTAAGCACTTTAGAGCAATTTGAGGAGTGGAGAAAAAGTCGGCCGAGACGCGGCACAACATCGCGTGGTCAATTAAAATGTTGCCGCACCAGTGCCGAGTGCCGACTTGCAACCAACGGTACGTTCGCGCACAAAACGGCCAAATAACACAGTCGACTTGTTCTGAATTGCTCGTATCCTCCGCTATCTAAATAAAGAGAGCTGGGAGACGGGACAGCTACTTCGGCTCCTGAGAGCGAGGCACGGTGAGCCGTGACGTGTGCGCCTGCGCGGTAATTGGCACTGAACTTGTTTCCGTTTGACGTCGTTAATTAGCTGTATACCCTTATATTGGGAAGGAGCGATTAAGAAAACACATTAGCCGTCGCTTGAGTTGACATGTGATATTTTAGATTTAGAGGAACGCGAGCCAATACTATTAGTGTAGGCCTACTTGGCTGTTGTATACGCTAGTCATCTAGGTAGCGGGTCTACAAAACAAACAATGGCGATCCACCTGAGCCGGTGTTGTGCCGTGCCTACACTGAGCTGCGCCTACGCACGCCACTCTTGCGCACGCACCGCCCGCGCCTTGAATGCCGGTCAGACATGTTCTCAAACACTTTCAAAATATCTTCGCTAGGCTTTATTGTGAACAAGTGTACATATACAATACAATTTGTACTTGGTACGTTTATATAGGGAGTGTATTTGTAGATAGTAAATTGTTGAACGGTTCTAAATTGATTGTTAATATCTTGTAGCTAATTTATTGTTATAACAGAGCTACAAGCCTTTATTATTATTATTTGCGACAATACTAGTGAGACATATACATAGACCATAAAAATATAGTACAAAGAAGGACAGCTAATAGATGCAGTGAAAATCCAATAATTGTACATCAGCCAACAATTGTAATTTTGCAGATTTGTACAAAATATTCAATAACAGTTTGTAATTTATGCAATTGACGATTAATGACACGTAATTATTAATTAATAAGTGGTTTTTCTTTTAATAGTCTGTTGATTAACGTATTTAATTGTCTGATACTGGTATTTAGTGAACAGGACAAGAAATACTGTCATCATTGAGGTTATTGATTCTTATAGAGGTAATCTATGTGTTAATGTTTTTTATGTTGTATGGTATATTAAGAATGCAGGTTGATTCCAACTAGTCTGGAAGTCGTTGGGGGATGCCTAAATTCAGCAGTAGACACCTGTGGCTCATATAATATTCCATTACTAATATACATTTCTAACAAAACAAGTATTATAAAAGATGTAATTAAAGTACCTTTTGTCAGCTACTAACTCACATATTATGACTAGGATGTGTTTAGTTTATTTTTTTATTAAAATGATGTTTATTTTTTCATCATAACCCTTGAAATAAATATCGAAAACATAAAAAGAGTCTTATCTTCTGTTTTAAAGATCATGCTTTTGATAACGATGCTGAATTAAGACATAAACTTTACGTTAAGATAAAAGTGATAATCTTTACCTACATACATAAATAAGTGGGCTGCTTATAATAATTATTATGTATGGTAGTACACTGGAAATGATAAACAAAAAGGTCTTATAATATTTTTAGGTTTTTATATACATAGGTTTTACAGATCAATTATTGTTTTACATACAGGAAAAGGCTTTGTAGCAGCGTTCTAATTGCAACCTCAACTATGGACATCAATCACTAGGTAGACGTAACAACGAAAACACTGTTAGTTTTGCCGCCGAATTATTAATTACATTCCCACAAAAAACTAACACACAACGCCGAAACGCATAAATTTCTTCCTTTTTCACCGCACAAAGGAGCCGGGCGGCCTACAATATAACGCTAAACAGATTAGCCGCGCCCGACACGGCCGTCGCGGCATAATTTTTGGCGCCAGTAGTCCTGCCTCTAGATTAAACTAATATGAAAAGGAAATTGAGTAGAAAATGGACGAAGCCTCTATGTGTCATTAAGAATTGGTTACGCCGCTCCAAAGTGCCGGCACAACCTTTATTATATTTGACTTCATTTAATTGAATTAACTTTTACGGTTTTACGAGCTGCCAGTGATGTTCGGAACGAAACATAATGACCTATTTTTGATAATAACAATAACGTTTATGTGACGGATATTGCTTTATAAATAATAAACAGGCCTACCGATCTACGGCACACGGGGAGAATATTGTAGACCTAAAAACAAGCAGGTAAGTAACTAACGTGCAGTGATTTATAACAGACAGTTGAAATACAATATATAATTCAAAAACAATTACAATTTCCTAGTTAAAGTATTTGAAACAAATTGAGTAGAATTTATTATTCAGAACGGACGGCCGAGTAAACGGCGACTTGAATTATTATTCAAAGGCACGGCAATATGAAGAAAATTTACACATAATGTTTTCTCTTACGGTGGGGGATATTTGGCGGTCCACTCGAGCCGCGGGGGCGGCCATGAATAGTAATAGAGGTTAGCTCGGGGCTCGGGGCTCGGGGCTCAGGGGAGCCGGCGCGGGCTCACGGGCTGCACACTCAATCGCGGGTAATGTGCCGCTTATGGTGCGTGCTAAATCGACAATACCCGGGGGTGCCCTGCTGACTAACAAACCATTTCATGGACTCTCCTATTTTGCTCGGTTTGTTCTTAATATTAAAGTTCATGGACCGTGAACATTTCTCCCACTGCGGCACCTTGTGATAAGTTTATTTATAAGTTTGGAATTTGATTAGTTCAACACATTCGTTACGCTCATTAATAACATATTTCATGATTCGGCTTCCGTGTCAGATATAGTCGTAGAACGAGCCTAATAAAGTTGATTTAAAACAAGATTTCGCTAAGGAATCTATCTTCACTGTGAGAAAATTTCAAAGTTACTTTGACATGAGATCAGCTGTAACACTAGGTGACCTATGTTTTCAAATACCTAATCAAAATGTAATTAAATTGACATCCCTAATAGCAAGAACCATGACAAAGTTTATCCTAAAGCCTACGAGTTGAAGTAGTGACTTGTAACTTATCAGTGATAAGAATGTTAGTGAGGCTGCGTTAGACTATGTTAGCGGTAAGTGTGCGGTAAGAATGTCTGGTCGGCTCATGGACTCACATTCATGAGCAGGTCCGGTGAGGAGGAGCCCTTGCCGCTCATGGCGATGGCGCCGGGTGTTGGCGCATGTCACACACTCACAACACTCGCGAGCGGCGCAGGCGGCGCGGGTGGCGCGTTCTCAGTGCGCCGGGCGCCGCGACTGACGCGCTGGCCCCCACCGCACCACGAGCCCCCACCGCTACCGGCTGCCTCATTTCTCACTATAATTTGCGTGCTGCTCGTTTTTTACCATTATTACTCCCTCGTTTTGTTTTACGTATTATCGAGTGCATCCCGCTCGCACCGGCCGCCATGCGCGCCCGGCGCCGCCCAGATAATAGCCGCGTGCAATTACGTCGCAGCGCGGTGACGCCGAGAGTACACATTAATACCGCTAACGCCATCTAGTGACGGGCGGACGAACTCAACATACCAACAAACTTAACTGTTCTAAAGAAAAATTAGAAACACATTTAACGTTAACATTTATTGTTTGTAATATTTCGTCATCAGCAATGTTTAACAAGAAAGAACTGACTCTTAAACTTTTATAGATATTTTACAGATGCCTGTATATTATTGCATTATCAATATGGTCTATGTAGCAACAATGGAGATACAAATCTCAGTTCTTTAGTATCATCACAAACGAATAAAATTAGAACAAAAGATATAAAAAAAGCCTTGTAGTAAAAAGTGTTTCGTGACCTTTTTTTCGTAGCAGCGCGTAGCACACGACGCGCGGCGTAGCACCTCCATAGGCACCGCTTTTCTTACTGAATACAAGAACAATTCACTGAATATTAAAATAGTCAACAATAGCAATATTTGAATAGTAAAATATGTATTAGTATATTAATATATTTTTTAAACTTATGTTCTTTAAACTTGTTTATTAAAAACTGTGACGCACTCGACTTATTTCTAAGAGCTTTTGTTAGACTCTTTATAAAGTCAACAATATTACTTAAGTATATGAGTTAGGTAGATTAGCAAACCAATGAAAAATAATAATATATAACTTATTTTTATGTCACATTATATATAAAATCACAACAGGTCAAAAACATTTTAGAACAGTAATTACAAACTATTAACAAATGTTAATACAATTTAATGGTACACAGGAGCCTATACTAAGCAGAGCCTGCAGTATGGGTTTCTAAAGAAGAAAAGTAGTAAATTTTGAAATTACCGTTTGCCGTTTTATTCTATGGATTGTGAAAGCTACTACAACGCGAGAAATATTATGAAAACCATCCTGTACTCCTGATTATATCCTCTTTTTATTATCTGTTACTTGAGGTATTTATAGAACTATTCGATAAAAAGATACCAGGACATTAATAAAAAAATATATATATTTTACCACAATTTCATAACATAACATTTATCCCCGAAGATCCCCGGGTGGGCAGTATAGGGATAGGCAGTATCCTTTTCCTTCGGGGATAAAAGGCGTGATGTTATGTTATATTATATTCATTTAAAAGCTAGTAAATGCGATCTTCAATCATACTGTCCAGATTATAAATAATACTTCTCATGTAGAGGATGATGAGCGTCCAATAAATCTAATAATGACGTCAAGAACTGTTGATGACGAACTTTGGTTCAACGGTGATAAACTAACAGTTCCACTTCAAAAGACGGGACTCTGTACTGTACTGAAAAGAAGTTTAATAATATGGAATCTAACTTATTTTGCTAAATCAAACTGGAAATCCTGGAAGGTTGTACGTAAGTACCTAAAACAATTTATTGACACCGTACCATAATTTTTTTTCACATATAGGTATGTTCGAAAAAGGAAAACATGTTTTAACAGGGTGTAATATTTGCAAGTCATTACATTTATATTTATTTGAATCATTTACAACAACACACTGTATAGTAGTTACCCATTAAAACACCGTTATCTATCGATGTGATCGGTGATTAAACTCATAATTTATATTAGCACTAACATCGACGACGAGTAAGGTTTTAGATTTTAATATTTTGTACATTTTAAGAATTTGTATGTTAATTGAATGAGAGTCGTGACGCCCCTAGTCACCGCCACATATGGTAGAAAGGTTAAAGATCGATTTGAAGCTATACTCAATAAGTTTCGTCGTTCCATTAATACGTAGGTACCTAGAGGTATAATCGATTTGATCGCTTGCGCAGATTGCATCGATAAGTTGTTGATTATGAAATTGGAATATTCTATCGCCTATTAAAGTAAATTTTATACTTAGCTCCGATGAAACTTTATAACTTTAGCGATCGATAGTTGCTTAACAGGATAATGTGAATGATTTGATTTGCTTTGAGTTTTACTTTAATGTTTAAAGGAATTTGATTCTTGTAAGACGATTAGAATTAGAACTTTTTTTAACTCGTCGAGTACCGGTTTTATAGACACAATTAAAGAACAATAGGTCGCGGTCACCGGTGACCGCTTGGTGTTTGACAGTTTAATAATAACAAAAGTATTATAACAATCTCGAATTATGCATCTTAAGACAACAACAACATCAACATAACATCACGCCTTTCTTCCCCGAAGGAGTAGGCAGAGGTGCACATTATGGCACTTAATGCCACTGTACCATGTAACACCCACTTTTCACTATTTTATGTTATGAGTCCCATGTAATAAGGGGTGAGCATCTTGCCATATACCGGGCACAATTCCAGACTCCGTGCTACCACTGAGAATTTTTTAAAAACCCAGTTGTATTTTACCCGACCCGGGGATCGAACTCGACACCCCTTGCACTTGCGACCACTCGACCAGCGAGCAGTCTTAGCTTAATATTTTATGCATTTATGCTTTATATATCTACAATTCTCATACTTATATGAGATTCTTAATAAAACTTCAAGTTCTACCCAGGATTAGAAATAAAATGATGTCACAGATTTATCAAAAACATATTTTATTTTTCGCTTCAATAAGCATAGAAAATACAACTTATACAACAATTTAAAGGCACATGATTTTCATACATTACAAAACTTAGTTTACAACTATATTACAGACATCACATTTAAATTCACGGTAACTTAAATGATATAAATAATACCTACCATAATATGGGCACATGCAATACGTTCCAACAGAAAACTATTATACACAAGTAATCTTAATTTAAGTAACACTTATTGTCCTAATGCCACAGGAGGTTGCAAGTTATAATGTCCTTGGAACATCGCGTAATTGTCCTTCGTAGCACACTGGTACGTGCTGATGGGCGCCGGGTACTGCTGGTACATCCTGTGGTCACGGACCGGCGGCCGAGGGTACAAGCCGTCCTGTCTCACATCTGGGTACCAGCCCGACATCATCCCACTCCCGAACACTGCGCCACTATTGTAGTTTGCCGCGCTCGGCATCATACTCGGGGCCACTGCTGCGTAGTTCAGAGACATCTGCTTAGGCGCACTCGCAACCGGCACAGTGCCGTAATTATTACTTCCAACCGAAGTTACCGGCACGGGTGCAGCGGCCACTTGCGGCTCTACTGGACGTTCTGGTTTATCACTCACAACACTTGACGTTTCTTCTTTCTCATCATCTTTCGTCTTCTTGCTTTTCTTCGACACATTCGCGTGCGTTTTCACATGTTTCGCTAAATGGTCAGACCGCATGAATCGTTTGGTGCACAGTTGACATGCGAATCTCTTCTCGCCAGTGTGCGTGCGCAAGTGTCGCTGCAGTTCATCGGAGCGCGTGAATCTCTTGCCACAGAACAGCCAGTTACACACAAAAGGTCGTTCTCCAGTGTGCCAGCGGAGATGTGCCTTCAGATGAGAAGTTTTCCCGTAAACTTTTCCACAACCAGGTACGTGACACACATGTTCTCGTTTAGCTCCATCCTTGCCGTAGTTGGGGCCGAAACCAGCGGCTTCAGTCAAACAGTTAGGACAACGACACTTAGCACAGCGCCGCTGAAGTTCACGAGCTTCCTCAGTAGCGGCCGGGGTGGGAGGCCAGTACGCAGGGTACTGAGCAGGGTAGGCAGGCAGCTCGCGCCATGCAGGCGGAGCACACCAGGTGCCTGAAGAAGCACTGCTGCACGACGACAAATCCGAGGCGGGCGATATAGCATCACCGCGCCCGTAGCCACAGCCGTAGCCTGACATCATGTTCATCATCTGTAAAGATAAAAACATTATAATTAGTAAGTTGTCGTTAACTGATGGAAAGTCGGACCCTATCTGTCACTTTATAAAATGTACGAGAAAATCACTACTTAAATTGACGTGACAAACGCAACACTTGTGGGTTATATTTACTGTAATATTAATAAACTCTCAAATTATGTCGAATAGTTAGTGGGCGGGCGGACGAACCTGTTGCGCGGGCGGATCCACGTATTGCATTTCCGGTGAGTGTGGTGACAACGTAGCGCGACGAAACCTTCAACTGGATAATTACAGGGCGGCGCACCGCTCGCGCCGAGACGTTTTTAATAACTGGCTTGGAATAGACGTAACAAGCGGTTGTCACCTCGCCCCGGCCCCACTGCCCCGAGGGAGCGAGCGGCGCGCGCGCACCCCGGGCCCGCACCCCGCGCCCGCCCGGCGCAGCCTCCGACACACCCCACCAAGCTCCGTGAGTTATGAGCTTACCAGTTCGGCTCTTATGAGAACGGGAAAGCCATGAGAGCGAGACGACAACCGTCCAAACAAAGCTAAAGGTTACGTTAACTTAAGCGTGTGTTTACTTTGGGCTTTATCTTGTACCGCATTGGGTTGTAGTAATTATGTGGAGGTTACGACCGCGGTTTTATGTAAATTGAATTAATTTACAGTCTAACGGTACGAAATATCAGTTTAATTGCACTGAAGTCCCATTTACACTCGGGATTACAATAAGTTGGACGTTGATGTCTTTTGCACTGTAATTTAGAGATAGTGCCAATAAAACCTTCATTCATCGAATTTGTCATATTTAGTGGACCTATAAAATGTGACTTATTTACAACAAATATTAGAATGTTCTTACCTCAAACAGTGCGGTGATACAAGCATCATTTCTTTTGTAGGCAGATATAATTCAGTTCCCAACTCAGAGACGCTTAATGTATTTAATTTTTTCTCTATTTCGGTCGGCAGTTCGCGGCAGACGCATGATTTATGCATATTCGACCGGAGCCAAACCTTTAATTACACGTTGTTAAAATATGGCAGTTTGTTAAATCGTTCGCTCTGCTTTTGTTTTTCCAAGCGCCGCGCCTCTAACAGAACCGTTCCCTTTTCTTCCTTCAACAAAAATTTTAGTTTCATATATTTTTTTATTTAATATAATTGCTTCGCTTTCCAACAGCTTGTTGGTTTATTTGTACTTACATATTTTAGATGGAAGGCATGGGAAAGTTGTTGTGCCAGTCAGAAATCATCAACTTGTAACATTAATATTAAATGACTTATCGAAAAATAAAAGTAGTACATATTAGTAAGTTTTTCTGATTATCACGTGGCTAAAGACCCGAGCCTACAGGGCAGTAACAGTGAACATATTTAAAATTTAATTTAAAAAAAAATCACAACCTTTATTAAACTGTCAAACACCAAGCGGTCACCGGTGACCGCGACCTATTGTTCTTTAATTGTGTCTATAAAACCGGTATTCGACGAGTTAAGACGTTTTTATACCATGTTAACTGCAAATAAATGTTTTATTATAATAATATTATTAACAATTCATCAGTAGGGAATAACAAATTACATACTAGTTTATTAGCCAAGCAATCGAATCAGGCACCGAGTTATTACTTGTCTTTTCTATACACTAAACAAACAAAGCACTCAAATAACCTTAAAACGATTATCACACCGTAAAAAGGCATGAAATGAAACTAATAATGACATCTTAAAAAGAGACCTGGCGATGCACTTGCAGAATTCAATCACTTAAAGAGATTCAACGAGATGTGACAAAAGTTATTCCTCGAAATTACTACTGTACACTTTTGTAAAACCTGTCGACATGTTTACGACACTATAGAACAATGAACTTCGGACTTTGGGCCTGGCTACTGTGTCCAAGCCGGTGAACACAAAGCCCACATGCAGGGCACAATGTCGACTACTAATGTCCTATGATCTGTGCCCATAAATCAAGGAGCTACTGCCTTTTGGGACAAAAAATCATCTCTGTGACTTGTGTGGATTGCATGTGCAATATATTTTGCCGATAACTTTGATGTTTGACACAAAACTATGTCCCGCGATTGTAGATGCCGCGTTATTAACGAATGCGTATAACATGGACTCACGCTGTTTTACTGCTCATAAAAATTATTGAAATGTTAGTTTTATTTAGTTTCGTCACCAGTTTTACTTACCTGTACCTAATTTTTGAACATATGTACTTACTACCTGTAGACTGTTTTTTGCTATCTTATCAAATATTACGATCTACATACTTGACTTCGATATTAAAAGTCATACCGACTTCATAAAAATGTAGTTGGAGATATTACTAAACAGTTAATTCAATGATCGTAGGTAGGTACCTAAGTATTACTATACGATACTGTCGCAGAGTAAACCTTACAGCATGTACAATGTATATACTTACTTTAATGAATTATGACACTTCTGTTATTTATCTAAATGTTCTCGAACTTGTTACTTTGTGTGCTAATTATATAAGAAACGTCTACGTAACACATGAGCATGACAGTAAAACATTCATATAGTGGAAAATACATAAATTGCTACATATGAAACGTATAAATCCACACTTTATAATTATCAATATCCCTCACTTTCAATACACGTAAAACACACAACATCCCGTGATGCGACCATAATGAAATCATTAGCGAAAATACATCGACATCTGAATCGCACGGCCGTTTCCGCTCAAGAAGGCTGGTACATTACATTAATTACAGGTTTCTTATATCGTGGGCGGGTAATTGGTTCTATCGCACGCTGTCCTTACTTCCTGTCTTTTGCTTACCCTGTATGAGAACAGGGAGATCCAAAAGTACCGGCTTGGTGTCAGGTTGCAAGTATTGTGCCAGCCAGCGCGGCACCCACGCAATGCACTGCCTAAAACGAAGTCAATTGTGCATGCAAAGCTCTTTATCGACTGTTCAATATTTTTTGTCGATTTCTCCGCTATTGTTAGGTAGTTGATAGCTGAATTATGATTTTAATGTGAGATAAATTGAGTGTTTTATGTCTATATGAACATATTTTAACAACTTATCTCAGACATAGAACACAGAATCTAAGCTTCCTGGTTCTGTATTCATAATGTGGCAACTGGCGTCAACATTTCAACTTAATTAGTCGATGAGGTAAATATTATTTATATTATTTCAACATTTTACAGAGGAATTTTCATGAACATCGACGAAGCATTCTGTGTTAGGACTAGGATTCTCCCGATAGATAGACATTTGCAAATAACTTTGGTTGCTTCAATATCATATATAAACAACACCGAAAAATCACTCATGGGGTTACAAATTAGACCCAAAAAGTCACAATCATAATGCAATTCTATCAAGAATGTCAAGAGCATTCAATGCTTGCAAAAAACCAAAAGATAACGCAATCGAAACTAAAATTTCGGATTATCGCTTTTTATAGAAATCTGATACGAACGTTGGATAAAAGACTGTAAAAAGCTCAAATGTTACGCGGGTTACGAATAAGTTTTATATTGCTATTGTATGAAAGCGGACATTGTTGTTATCTGATCGGAATTCCGCTCATTTCGCGTCCAACGATGTTACACACGGCTTCACATCAAGCTGTACAAATCCAATTTATCATGGACTTGCTTTGTACAATCTCTGTGCTTATTGCACGGTCAGGTTATGTTGGTTTTGTGTAGCTTGTGTGTACGTCCAAAGGAGTGAAGGCTGCATTGTGTAGGTGTAACAAGATCACCGAAAGTACCTGTTTGTAACAATGTAAAGCGCACAGGTTCGCACCAAACGACGTTCCCTTGTCAAGCCATTGTCACAGGATTTGACAGATCTTTGCGTAACACAGTAGTGGGATGAAAAAATTGCATTGTTTTTGAAAGACTTTTTGGTTTAACCGCAAGCATTGGTAGTTCGATCATAGTCATTGTTAGTTAATTTTTATTTGTGGCTTTTACAAGGTAAGCTACGTATGCACGTATGTATGCTCAAGAATCCGAGTTAAGTAGTTCAGTTTTTACTTTTAGGTAGATACCTAATAAAGTACCGACCCATTTATCCGCTGATTAGCAAATGGTAGGTAAGCTTTATTATTAAGGATCTGTATATAAGGATACATAGGTTCAGTGGCGTGCATGCATTCCGTATAGGTAGGCAAAAATGTAAGGTAGGCAACCTTACAAATATCGTGAATAAATAACATACATAAAATGTATAAACGCGTTTATTAAGATTCAATAATATAGTAGAAGTTTGTAAAAAAACGGCTAACATAAATATACATTCACATATACTATAGGTACACGACCCGCACGCCTTTGCATAGGTCAGAAGTTAATTTAAATATTGAGACTCCACTAATCTTATCACATAATACCCAAGTTCTTATTGTAATAGATAACTACTTAGTTTTACACTAGTTTCAATAACACTATCACCATAACAACATCACCCGCACCACAGTTTGGTACAAAAACATCGTAACATAAGTAAGCAAACATCTGAAGCGGCGATCCTATAAGCATAGAGGATCATACATCAAAAATCACACACGGAAAAAGTTTCGGACGCCACAAAAAATATGAGGACTAGGTAGAAGATTTCTGCGGATCTTTGGCACCCTGTGGCGCCGCGGCCATTTTCAAACGGATCTCTCTCTATAACATGACAGCCGAAATTACCCCACATCACTAAAAACGACATCTACAGAGCAGTTTGTTTAACACAACAAGCCGTTCCGATCTAACGATGACACGATTTTGACGCCGATCTATCGCTCTCATTAGGATTCCATTTTTTTTAAACTTTGCCATTTCTGTTAGTAATTAAGCCAATATGAATGAGAGTAGCCATTAGTGTCAGGTTTATGGTGGCCCAGTGGACAACCTACGGTAATGGTGTTCGTGAAAAAATAAATACGGAACCTGAACTAATTTTATAATTGTTATTGCGAATTATTAGGGTCATTATTTTTAAGTTCTTACCTACCGCATCGGTTGGAGCTTTCTTTGTTGTTGTTATTACATTAATTTATGAGTTCCAGTAAATACTGAAATGTTTATTTATACCTAGAGTGTATATGGAGTTGTCCATCGAAGACAAAACTTAAATAGTTAATTGAAAAATGTACCTAATTAGGGAACCACATCAAGCACTGTTACGTACGATACTGCTTCAATTTGAAAAATATAAAATTATATTGGCTAAGATTTTTTTACTGACTTTCAGAAATTAACACAATGACTAAACAATCAGGTAGCTTCACGTGTCGCAGGTTCGATTCCCACTCGGAACAATTCTTCGTGTGATTTCCATCTTACCTATACACTCCAAATCGATGGGAAAGAGTTAGTAGTTAGTTACTGTGATTTTTTTTATATTTGAAGTAAGGTAATTAATATATTTCAAAGCGTCAGAAACATTTACAAAATGTCTAATGAAACAGCTAACGCCATCTGTTGTCTAATGGCTGAACTAGATTTACAATATTTTTCAAGCTCTTGGAATGATGTTTTGGAAGTGGCTTTTAAAGTATTTTTACGTGGATTCCAGTATTTTTTTATGGAATGTAAAATATGAGGCATTATAATTATTTTGTTAGGTACTATCACTCTATTTAACTTCCTAACACAGTATGGCCCATTATTAGACATCATCACTACACCAGTCATTTGCTTTAAATTTTAGAAAATCTTTTAACATTTGTCTGACTCTGGAATCCAAGAGCATGCGCAGCCGTCGTGCTTGTGACCATTGTATTAGAGGTAATGAGACAGTCATTCGAGTTACTAGCCATAGTGAAGACTATTTTGTTTTCATCCCGTGGTAAAAAAACCTGGCCAGTTAGAAGGAGTACTTTCGATGTATAAAAAAAATACAAAAAAAAATCATGGAATACGCACATGAAACACTAGATGTAAAGTACACACTATTTACTTCGTACATTTATTTATTTATACTTTATTGCACACACAGAAAAAAATTGTAAACATTGCAACAGTAATGTTGGCGCATTAGTATGGCCATCGACCATAGAGGCGGCGACGCGCGGGACGGGGTATAAAAACCCACGGCCGCGCGAGCGCCGCGCTTCTTCTTCATCGACACACGCCAGCCATTGCATTCGGGCATTTCTTTGTATCGGTGTGAGCCGGTCTTGATTCTGATATATGTAGAAATTAAACCTATTAATTGTGCAGTCTTCTGTTTTGATTTAAAATAACCCGACAGAGCTACGACAGTAATTTAAGTACAATAGGCGGTCTTATCACACGCGGCGATTTCTTCCAGACAACCTTTGGATGGAATTTTAGAAAAGAATCTGGGAATGTTACCCGACGAGAAATACCTCTTCGAGAATTACATGGCGTGATGTTTTGATAATGTACCTATTATGAGTATAGTTTGCTTTTTGCAATGGTTCACCAGTTATTATTATTTTAAATATTTTATTCGTTTGTAAATCTATTGCATTAGAAAGACAGAACCATTTTACTTCGGGACGAAAACGAAATAGATTTCACGGTGTACGATTATACAGTGAATGCCTACATAAAAGATTGTCCGAAACATGTAGAATACAAATGTAACACTGACCTATATCCAGGTTCCTTTGGTGTGTCGTGTAAGACAGAATAGCTTCTGTCCAATAGCCACTTTGCCTGTGGGTTAACTGTCGAATAAGAATCGACGCAACGGTATGGAACTACACATATGACAAAAATACATTTAAGTCTAAACTTTTTAAACTGTGATTAGCAATCCGTCTACCAACTGTCCACCCATGTGCTTGTTTGTGTGCATAAAACTTTTTAAATAAAAAATAAATAAAACTATGGATACTATGGCAAGACCTATGAAGAGGACAAGACACCTATAGTATAGCAGTGGGTTTTCACGAGTTGATGTTAACAAAAGGCGGACATAATATTATCTTGAAACAGCGACTGTTGCACCTGGTTACTATAGACTTGCACGTAGGATATACACACATTGACATGAACGTCATCTGTCCCGTGACATGCTCCGTCATTACACTTCCTACACTACGGTGTAGCAAGTACATAAATACTCCACTGAAATTTTGGTGCTTCAATCATTTCTAAGTGACATTACGTCCGCACCGGAGGCCCAAGTACCCTCTCCCTTCCCTAATTCCTGAATCCTCAAACTCCTAATCCCCAAAAGGCCGGTAACGCACTTGTAACGCCTCTAGTGTTCCAGGTGTCCATGGGCGACGCCGATTGCTTACCATCAGATGATCCGTCTGCTAGTTTACCGGCTTATGCCATAAAAAAAAGACTTTTAACGTCCTTGGGTGAGGTATGCGAAAAATATATTACAAATATCGGCTCGAAAAAATTTATTACAACACACGTCACAAAACATACATTTGTACAACCATTTCACATTATAATTATACAATATAGTAAATAATGACTATTCAGTTTTAGATCGAGGAATGTTTTATCTCGTCTCAAAGAGCCACAATACCGAATAGATTCTATATTGTGTTGCTGAAGGAAATACGACCGTATTGGTAATAAATAGATTTGTGTTTAGTTCGACGTTATATATTGCTTTATTGTTATTGGTTTTGATAGTGCCAATTTCTACGTAGATAACTTATACAATACTAAAATGTCATTAAAGCTTAAATTGCCAAATATTAAAGTATAGAAAGACTTTGAAGTTCATTTAAATATAGCATTTTAGCGTTTGGGAATTATAAGTTCTATAAGCACTATGATTCAAAGCAAGAAATTGATTTTATTAATAATTTGACGACTCTAAAATAGCCAATGTAACAGATTGGTGTTGATTAAACATTGGCACGTTATACTAATAAAATTTCAATATTCTAGAAATTTTTTGAAGCCAAGTCCATCAGTTATCAAAATATAATATCATTAATACACTACAATACTTATAAGATACGTGAATCACAAGATACTATAAATATATAAGTTTTCCGTGAGTTTTATACATATTCCAAGCCATTGGGATTAATAAATAAATTAATTGTATATTAACAATTTTTGATTCTCACTGAGAGCATGTGCAAGATCTAAAGATTTTATAAAAAAACAAGTGGAAAACGAAAAACAGTTTTGTGTGGAAGACATCTACGTGCAATATACTATTGTTTTCTTTTACAAAATGGTTAGAAATTACTTTCATCGTACGTCTAACAAACATTCTCCAAACGTACACACGCAATATCTTAATGTACCAACAAAAACAAAGAAAAAGTAAGTATAACTTGTCAGGCATTTTAATTGCTTCTTGTTAAGTAGGTAATGGACATCCAAAAGGCATAACTTAAAAATATAAAATAACTACAAACTACAATGAAGAGAAAAGTAGAAAGTCTATGGATTCATGGAATATCCTAAAGATTTAAATGCCTAAATTCATTCAATAAATATTTTTGAAAGTCGAGTAGCAAGTCTAGCCATGTAAATCTGTCGACACAAAGTTACATAATTAAAACCGCACACAACTGGTAGGACGCATCAATAAATAGACTATAAACGAATCAAACAACTGGCTTTGTTCGTAACCAAGAAAAGAAAACAATTCGGTAATAATTCTGAATTATAACAAAAAAAAAGAAAAATAAGAATTTTCATAAAAAAAACGAGATAAAACTGGTTTTTATACAATTAGGTTTCTTTAGTAAGTGACTTATACTAAATTTCATGACCTAGGTGCAGTAACTTTATAATTCGTCCCGGAGGAGAGTGTACCGGTTCTTGGACGGCGCTAGCTTCTTGAACGTGGACTCAGGAGGAGTGGTCACTTTGACATCGAGGTGCATCACGGGCTGGTCTGGGTCGGGACCGTAGTGGAACTCCCTGGAACGAAAAGGAAAACAAATTAATTTCATGTTAACATTATTTATGCAATATTCTTTTCACTAAGACTGACATTTCATGGAACCGCTCATAAGACTCATTAAAACCAAATTATAACACAATAAATGGGAAAAAAATGTATCAACAAGTAAAAACTAAGATGTTTTTTGAACCAGACCTGAAATCTTATTCAAAGAGGCTTCTTATTGTACAAAAAAACATTTAAATTTCTCTAAAACAGACTATTTTACGAAACTGATTCTACTGCCAGAAACAATGATATTAACATAGAACTGTGTGAAATGTTGAGGGTCACAGTACAATGAGACGTACGGCATTTTATCGGCATCTGTACTGTAATGTAGGTAACTTAAACAAGGCTGCACTTCGAGCTATACAGAACCAGTATACGCTGACCGTTGAATTTGCCCAAAGATCATATAAAGCGTGACTATGATATACTGGTTTTGGTGGCCGTATGTACATTCTCTTTGCTCTGTATCTACGTCGAGTTCAATGTAAACGATCTATTGTTTTCCTGATTATTGCTGAGATGCGATCATTATACTGGTAAATATGTGACGTTGGTTAAGAAGTAGCCACTAGCCTTATGAAGTAGCGATAATCACAAGTCCCGCGAAGTAGCTAGAAAATTTATTTTGTAGCAAAATGTTTTAAAAATTTTAAATGTATTAGAGGTCATAAATTACAAGGTACGGGAATATGTAAATTAGTGAACTTCATTTTAAAAAGAAAGGTAGAAGAGAATAGGTAAGGAAGAGTGTCTACTATGTAATGATAATGACATCCATTAGTACCTACTCGAGGAAAAATTGAGAAAAAAAACCATATGCCAATCCGTAACTTGTAATATCAAAGGACAGACGGTTTAACTAACTTATTTAAAATCCCCGGACAAGCATTACTTTTAGTAGGTATAACAATTTACTGAGCGTAGCAAATGATTTTATGACTACGCCCATACGTAACTGATAAGTAACGAGGCTTAGATTAAAATATAGTGCACTCACAATCAGAACCACTGCGCTATAATTAAGCGTAACTATAAAACATTTATATTTTTAATTAACCATTTAATAAGAGCGAGGATTTATGATTTATCCCTCTTCAGAAGAAATCTGCATTATAGGTTACATACATAAGTAAATGAACTCACACCTTAGTCAGGCTAGACAGAAACTACAGAACTATGCGTCACTTAATACGACCCATACATACTTCTTTCATTCATATGAAAGTGAAGAGAAATCAGAATCGATGATGGACAATGGAACACTTATACTGTCACTTATATGGACAACTATAATGGACAAATGCTATCGAAAGAGGCCGGAAGAGGGGACAATATTCAATCCGTCAAAAATTTACATTAATCAATATGGGTGATGTTATAAGCCGAGGGGCTTTAACAAACCTATGTTGGTATACCTTTACATGTAACTTCTAATTCTAAACAAAATTTGTGTTAATTGTAATAAGGGCAGATTGGTAGAAAAAGTCAATGGCATTACAGTCCGCTTATAGTGTGTACATGTACAAAGCATTACAATAATCTTATCTATACTAAATATTATAAAGCTGAAGAGTTTGTTTTTTGTTTGTTTGTTTGAACGCGTTAATCTTCGGAACTACAAGTCTGATTTGAATAATTATTTTTGTGTTGGATGGCGCATTTATCGAGGATGGCTATAGGCTATAAAACATAACGCTACGACTAATAGGAGCTGAGCAGAGCGTGTGAAACCGCGCGGACGTACTAGTTAAAGATAACGGGGGAAAAGATGGAGAAAATATTAAAGCGAGTAGGCAAGGTTAATATTTTGTATTTTCTAAAGAAGGGGCGACAAGAATCTATTTGCTTCAACCCGAATATCGCTTTAACTTTTTTGCATTATAAATGATTGTTCTATCTCAACACAGCGACATCAAAGAATAACCCCATATCGCAATATGGAGGATATGTATCCGTGTTACGCAGTCATTGCAGCCTCTCTCGATATTTCACGGCAGATACGTCTCAGGGGATAAACAAAACTATTTAATTTTACTAGAAACATCTTGCACTTTGTTCTTCTAAGAGCAGAACTTGTCTAATGTAATCCCAAGAAATTTTACTGACTCAGTTCCTGTCAGGGCTATACATCACATATAATTCAGCGAGTTTATTACTGTCCTGTAGGTATGAAACTGAATGAATTTAATTTTATCAATATTAACTTTAGGTTATTCCCTTCCCACTCTATAGTTGTCTGGAGCACGGTGTTTATTTCTCTCTCATACGATGTTTTATAATTACATTTTACGACAATAGTTGTGTCGTCTACAAACAGTACACATTCGTGGTTTATGATGTTTGGAAAGTCGTTAATGTAAAGCAAAAACAATGTAGGGCCCAAAATACTACCTTGAGGCACACCGTATTTTTTTTTAAGGGGGGAAAATCATCGAATGACAGGCACACCGTATTCATTTGCCAAAAAGAAAGAATGATATAGTTTACGTGTTTTGGATATCTCATTATATCTTGATCTCCACCGCATGTGCCCGATCAGATTAATATGATTTTAGCCAGAAATTGTTTACGAATTGGTACCACTAACACATTGGTAAATTGTAACTGACGAAGTGTGTAATGTAAATTTGAAATGTAACGTTTGAATATCCATAAGGTTTCTGTCATTAGTACCTGCTAGAATGACAACAAAGTCAGATTTGCCAAAGTCTTTTCATAAACTTTCACTTGTATTTAAAACTTCTTTAGTTGTAGCACAGGGTTTTATAAATTACGTCACCGTAAACTGTTTCCCAAGGTAGTCTTGAATAATATTTCTAATACCATAACCGGCATGATAACCGAAAATCATAACCCTCTGTGTATTGCTAGTTCCACTGGTTGACTGCGATTGGAGTTTCTTGGGTTGCAAACATGTAGTGATTAGTTTTGTAACCGTAAGTTGTTCGTCTCAGCCAGATGTCCCTTCGTGTCCATTACAGAAGCTGACTCGGCCTAACTCGGTGCGTCGTGTGTACTTCGATTTATGATACACTCACCAGAATTACAATGTCCCACTTGCAACGGCGTGTCAGTGTGTTGTATCTGCCCCATATTGCAGTTCGAGCCAGCAGTACCAAACGAAACATCAGACCCATTGACCACGGCAGTATCATACTGAATTGCTGCCATAGGAGAGATACACAACCTTGTCGAGGTTTAAATACTGTTCATTCTTATCCTAATATTGCGTGTACACTTTAGTGTAAAGCACCTGGTTTCCTGCTTTTTGTAAGAACCTATAAACTTCTGGTATTGGCCCATATCCATTTTCAAACGAAAGTTTTCACTATTTAATTTTCAATTTCTAGATGAGCGCTTTTTAATTCTGAGTCTATACTGACACTATCTATATTTATAGATAGATATATTTATAGATAGTGTCTAGCAAACTCATCATTGTTGTGTCTAATACTGTTGAATCAGAGTTCAACTTTGTGTTTAGTAGTCTGTCCATTGAATTCGACCTTGCGGTTTTACGAACAGTAACGTTGTCAATTTTCGACTTGTTCATTGTAAAAAGATGTCGCTAGATCACTGATAAATTCCAAGAAGACCACCTATTGTGATGCAAGAGTCGTTAGAAATGACGTCAGTAACACTTCGTTATGATTCTTTATGCAGGAATTAGTGAGTATTATCAAATTTTTGGGGTATCATTTATATCACTTTTACCGGACACTTAATAATGGCGGTAGTAATACAATTTTACTGATCCACAATGTAACTCGAAAAATAGGGTAATTAACACAATTTAAAAACATTTGGGATAAACATCAAATATTGAAAATCTCTATCAGTGCGTCCTTCATTTATAAAAAAAATAATACTTTTCATCTATGTGACAATTTATCCTTTATGACGTCAAATATTTTACTCGTTATTTTTTATAATGCATATAGCATTATAAAAAATAACGAGTTTAGCCGGAGAGTCGTACGATAAATTTAATTACGCATGTTTAGTATCTACGAGGTACCTATCTTCAATTATCTAGATGCTTATCATCAGGCGAGATAGCGAACCACTCAAATACTTCAAAGATGTGAAAGTGTTTGCACATTCGAGTAGAAATATCGGTACTTTTAACTGACTCATTTATTACTAGAGAAATAACTGTGTGCATAGAAATTAGAAGTCATCGATTTCCACTTAATATATGAACACCTCATTCATAGATCGGCTTTTATTACTCAACAAAATTTTATAAAATTGAGTCATTTTCATTCAATATTGAACTATTTGACACGTAATTTGAACCACATTCATACTACGTCTACGAGATAAGGCTTAGAACACCAGTTCTAAGACTTTTCACCAGAAAAGTGGGTGTTAACACAATTTTAAGACGATAGAGTTACCTAACAAGACAATATTTTAAATTGAATTCGAATTTTAAAATTAATTTCTTATTAAATTCTGCTGTTAATGTGATTGTTTATGCCCCATAAACGGAGCTAAGTACGAGATGATGTTAAGTATTTTTCTCATTTGTGGAACTGATTTACATTAACTGATCCAATTTACATGGTAGACTGATTTATACTCATGAAGACTGTTGGTTATGTTGGATAGATACCCAGTTATTTTAATTGCAAACACAATATATTTTACAGAGTTATATATTGCTGAACTGTCCATTAAGTACAATTAACATTTTTGCAAAGACAAATAGCTGATTATAATTATCTATAAACATCAGTATTAGTAACAATTATAATTTTATTGTCGTTGGAAATAAAAGTGTTCCCGGATCCGTAATAAAACAAATATCATTATTTATTGTTCGTGAGAATTTATTAATGTAAAAAAATCTGTGCTAGTATATAAAGCTGAAGAGTTTTTGTGCATGTTTAAGCGCGCAAATGTTCGGAACTGCAGGTCCGATTTTAATAATTCGTTTTGGGTTGGATAGTGCAACATAGTTGTATAAAACATCACGCTACAATCATAGGAGCCGAGCAGAACGGATGAAACAGCGTGGGAATACCGAGTTTATATTAAAAATCTTCTTGAAAACATTACATAATGCCTCACACTTTAATCCCCGAAATAGTCGGCAAAAGCGCACAGATCATATAAATGAAACAGTCACCTTTCTCCACTTGATGTATTTATAAACTAGAGAATCCACATAAAGTAGCAAGGTCATCAGAATACGACTTTCTTTTATGTAAATACTTAAAACAGCGACGGAATTATGAACCTTATCATTCTCGTCTTATGCTAATTATTTAGATAAACACATGTTTTGTCGTTTACTTTGTCCTATTATATTTAAAAATAAAAAACTACAATTCTACGTAATTAATAGAAATCAGATCAGAGGACTGAGTATAAGTTTGTTTCACGTTTAACGAGATCGAAACGAGACCGCGTTCAGTGCTCTGATTGGCCGGTTTCAATGAACCAACTAACCAGAGCGCCCAACACGGTCTCAGGAAATGAAGTAATAAAAAAACCCTAAGTGACTAAGAAGGTATGACTGGAGGTAATACAAAAATATGACTAAAGTAGTTTTACCCTATTATGTCAAGTAATGTTGTATGTTGTTATGTTGTATCCTATGTGACTATTTCTTATATTGTTGTTCAAACATGTCCAATAGCATTAGATGTAATTCTAATAGCTTTTGAAATAGCAGACTGTGGTGTGTAAAATAATGTCTTTTGTTTCATACTTCCGAGTATGGAAAAATAAAGTCCAGAATTGTTTTTCATGGCATAAGCCGTTAAACGAGCAGATGGATCGCCTGATGGTAAGCAATCGGCGCCGCCCATGAACAACCGAAACACCAGCGGCGTTACAAGTGCGTGCCGCCTATTCGGGATTATAAAAATGAGGATTATTGGAGATTCAGGGATTATGGAGATTGGAGACGGGGGTAATTGAGCATTGAATTTGATTTACGGTAACATGCTGAGAAAGGAACATTCTACATAGACAGAGCAGTTTGTATACCTGTGCAATTTTCCTGAATATAGATCCAGTAGGAACTGCTTTAGCCTGCCAGGCTTCTCCATTTCCTTGTAGTCGGGGAACATGTACATGTGTCTGAAAGAGTCGATGGCGATCAGCGGGAGGTCTGAGATGGACTTGCCCAAGTGATGTAGCGGGTGCTCAAATCGTACACCATCGGCCGTTAGGAAGTTCACGTTTTCTGTAATTTAGACATGAAAATTTTATTCAAAGAAAGTAATCTGTAGGATTCCCATAAGTAAATAAATAGTTTAACATTTGTTTACACAAGTGTGCAGTTATAATAAAATTATAATATTATGCTCAGTTCATCGACATTAAGGGGACACAAATGTTGCAATCTTAACAAAACAAACATTGAAAAACCTGCTGTATACACAAAAAGGTTGAATATGGTTTATTTTATATTGAAATGGGCTTTACTGTGGTACTATAAATTCAATTGAAATAGAAAGGATTTATTCAATTTCCATCAACAATAATGGAACACTATAGTATACACATACACACAGTACTTTCAAGAAATTTATGCGACGGAAAATGTTAATTTGTACAATTAATTCTTCAATGACTTACGTTTCTCTCCTTCTAATTCGTTCTGAATAACTTCCTTGTATTTCTTGACACTTTCATTATCGTCAGGATGGTGGAACAAGATCAAGAACGGCAATCCTTCCTCCGTAAGTTCTTCAGCATTCTCGAATGTGATCTCTCGGACTAATGGGATACATTTCTCCTGAGCCCACTTGTACAAGTCTTCGAAACTTAACAAAGAGCCAGTAAATGTTTCATCTGGATCCGTAGACTTCTTCCGGTCCGCTCTAAACACTACTAGTGGTTGACCTAGAAAGGATTTAATACAGGAATGATGATACAAAATTAAAATTAGTATTATGCAAAATTCAGTTTAGTCTGTCAGCTTTGATAATAGTAAAAACATTAAAAATTATATATATGGTTTATCATTTTGGATAAAATGTATGAGAAATATTTGGATAAAGCACACTATGATTAGGCATTTAAAACAATAATTGTATAGTTGTAACATATTGTTATAAAACTCTTATAATCCAAGTTATTTGTGTACATTCAAATACCTGGAGGATGCATCTGCTGTGAAGCATCACCAAATCCAACATGGAACTGGCATTCTTCTTTAAGATTAGCAGCCACCTTCCGGAATGTATCATACTCTGGCTGGTCTCGTCTGTCCATGTAGCCGATGATGTGTCTTTTATCTTCACTGAGGTTATGCAACTCTTTAAGAGCACCAAATGTAACCACTGGATCGGTTAGTTGTTTCTTTATGAACTCTGCAAATGCCTCTACTGATCTTTGGCCTAAAATTAAGTAGAAATGTTAGTTTATCATTTTGTTTACATTTACAATACTAATTGTCCAATTGAGATAATTATGAGTTTTATTGTCAAATTGGTTCCCAACTAGTAGTAATAAACAATCATTAAGCTTTTTACTCCTTTTCAAGTCTTGAATTTATAACTATATACATAACTATAAGAAAAATCTTACCTCTGTATTCTTTCTTAGCAGCAACTCCATTCCGGAACATTTTCAGTGTAGGATATTTAGTGATATGGAACCTGGTTGCCACTGCACCTTCTTTGTCACAATCCACTTTACCCATCACCACTTTGCCTGTATCATAGCCTGCCTTTGTCACTTCGTCAGCAGCCTCGTCAAATATAGGCATCAGCATATTACTGAATTTGCACCATTCAGCATAAAAATTAATAAATACTATTTCATTGGAAGCTGAAATTTCAAACAATGTTAATGATGCATAAAATCAATTGTAGCTTGATAAAGAAAATTAATTAACTATTTTAGATGATTTCACTATGTACTTGTAATGCTAAATATATTTTCTTGTACCTCACAAGAAGGAATGACAATCGGTAAATTATTATTTGTGGAAATAATGAATATCTTCATTCATGTTGTGATGTTATATGTATGTTTATGTGATATTGTGTAAAAATATTGTCACTTTTGATATCACTTTTCTCACCAAATGAAGATCAAGTTTAATAGATATAAAAATTAAATTAGGTATATGACATTGACCTGATAACAAACTACATAAATTTTTTCTTGTTTGTTTACTTGACAAAGTTTATCTAATTAAGCCTGATGATGTGGCTTCCACCTAGTGACTCGGTGAATTTAAACACAAATAAGATTCCAATGAGTTTCTATCAATGTGTTAAATATCAAATAAATATGTATTTAATTGAGCTAAATAAATTATTTATTCTAATTTTATTTAAGACTCTCACTATCATAATATGTACAACGACTAGTACTGTCATTTAACACAATAGAATAGAGTTATACTTGTATGTTTATGTGCGTTTAGCATAGGTAAAGTAAAACGAAACAAATAGTTTATTGTTTTGTTCCTTCGCAATGAGAAAGTAAAACAAAAAGCTTCTAGAAAACGTGGAGTAGGCATGAACTCACCTAATATCATATCCAAATTACTTTGTGTAATTTGCACAGCACCGCTATCGGTAGGGTTGTAAAAACTATGGCATATCTGAAACATAACAATCCTCAGAAATTATGCAGCAATTACTTATTCATAATAGACCATAAAATCAACAATCCATTAGAACACTTTTGCGGAAAAGATTTCCGGACATTTTGACATTCCAAATGCTTACCAGAAAAATAACACAGATCAGGGATTTGTAATTATACAAGTTAAATGCATTCCAATTCATTTTGAAATGTTAAATAAATCACTTTTTCTGCCGAAGTGAAATTATTACTGCCGCTACCGCTGCTGGTGTTGGCTGGCACTTGGCAGTTGGCTAACAGCAGTGGCAGTTCTCATTGGCAGTTGGCAACTTGGCACTCTGGTAGACAACAGATAAAAAATAATACTGATTTCTTCGCCTTGTGCACAATATCTTTACTATTCAAGAAATAATCTGATTGGATTACCTTGTATCTTTTTATTTATAGAAAAATAGTTAGATTTAAAATCTAAACTCCACAAAGAAGTCCTAGCACAAGTGATACGAAATTAAACGACATTCTTGAAATTCGGAAAAACCGGTTTTCCTTTTTTTTAATGATATTCCCACGAAAAAGAACTCGACTAAAATAATCGATTAGAAAATGTTTTTAATAAATGTCTTTAATCCGGTGTTTTATATTATATTTTACTCTAACACATAAAAACGATATTTGTGAGTTATATTTTATTTAACTTGCACTGGGCTAAAGGAAGCAATGGTTTCGTGCCTGATGGGTGATCTTGTTGGTCGTGCTCTCGTTGGTCGGGTGGTAATGAGATCGTGCCCGATGGGAGGCAATGAGGTTATGCCCGATGGGAGGCAATGAGGTCGTGCCCGATGGGTGGCAATGAGGTCGTGCCTGGTGGGTTGCAATGAGGCCGTGTCCGATGGGAGGCAATGAGGCCGTATTCGATGGGTGGCAATGAGGCCGTGTCCGATGGGAGGCAATGAGGCCGTATTCGATGGGTGGCAATGAGGCCGTGTCCGATGGGTGGCAATGAGACTGTGCCTGATGGGTGGCAATGAGGCCGTGTCCGATGGGTGGCAATGAGGCTGTGCCTGATGAGTGGCAATGAGGCCGTGCCTGATGGGTGGCAATGAGGCTGTGCCTGATGGGTGGCAATGAGGCCGTGCCTGATGGGTGGCAATGAGGCCGTGCCTGATGGGTGGCAATGAGGTCGTGCCTGATGGGTGACAATGAGGTCGTGCCCGATGGGTGGCAATGAGGTCGTGGCCGATGGGTGGCAATGAGGTCGTGCCTGATGGGAGGCAATGAGGCCGTATTCGATGGGTGGCAATGAGGCCGTGTCCGATGGGTGGCAATGAGACTGTGCCTGATGGGTGGCAATGAGGTCGTGGCCGATGGGTGGCAATGAGGTCGTGCCTGGTGGGTTGCAATGAGGTCGTGCCTGATGGGAGGCAATGAGGCCGTATTCGATGGGTGGCAATGAGGCCGTGTCCGATGGGTGGCAATGAGGCTGTGCCTGATGGGTGGCAATGAGGCTGTGCCTGATGGGTGGCAATGAGGCCGTGCCTGATGGGTGGCAATGAGGTCGTGCCCGATGGGTGGCAATGAGGTCGTGGCCGATGGGTAGCAATGAGGCCGGCCGTGCCCGATCGGTGGCAATGAGGTCGTGCCCGATGGGTGGCAATGAGGCCGTGTCCGATGGGTGGCAATGAGGCTGTGCCTGATGGGTGGCAATGAGGTCATGCCCGGTGGGTGGGAATGACGTAGTGCTCAGTGGGTGGCAATGAGGCCGTGCCCGGTGGGTGCCAATGAGGCGGCGGCATAACTGGCGGGAGTGAATTGTATAATTGGTTATTCTCATTTGTTAGACATAACTTTAGGCATTCCACTACTTATAACATTATTAATATACAGTTAGATATCAAAGAAAAGATTTATGTGGAAAATACGCATTTATTTGTAAAAAAATCAGCTTCATTTCACATTGGGAATGTTTAATATAAAAATACATAAAACAGTAAAGCACATAATTGGACGGATTATGTTACAAATGATAAAAAATAGTAAGAACTGAGATTCACAAAATAATATACTTACATTTAACATTATTTTATTACTTTTCAGTGCCATCAATAAGTCTCATAATAAAATTTCTATAATGAATAGAATTTCTCTTATATTTTGTAAACTAAATTGATAAAAATGTAATAGCATTCTATTGCCCGAATACTAAAATGTTACTCAATTTTAAGTCATGCTTAAGTATAATTCCGTCACCACTAATTCTTTGTGAAATGACAGAGATAGCACGATATTTAAGCATGACTAAAATTGAGTAACGTTTCAGTATTCGGCATATGTCTACATATGTCGAATGTATATGTACATATGTCTGAATTCTGTAATAGTAATTAAATTGCAAATGTATTTTTGTACCAAAACAGGTACTGAAGTATAAAAACACTGAGGTATAAAAATCCTACTTTATAAATAAGTTCATTTGTTAACAAAATTGAACATGAATACCTATCTTAAGTTATAACTTTTTGATTAATTAACTGAGGATGTTTGTGCTGCATCATTCATATTGTTTAAAGTTCAATATGAATAATACAATTTTTTTTTATATTGCATTCACTTATTTCAAAATTCCTAACAATATATTTCTTCATTTCATACTGGGTCATAATGTAAAATACTAATACAATAACAATACGATAATACAATAAGAAGTCAGGTTTCTATAAAATATTCTTCAATAGGAATAATCCCAATCCTAGTCCTAATAAGACGGAAACTGGTTTTACAGCATCACTTCCACTCTGAAAACAAAAAATTAATTTCAATTAGTAAAGTAATGCATATTTGTTATCTGTGGACTGAAACTACTTGGATGATCTGCAATGAAATGAAACATTATTATTACAATTAAAACAATTTTTTTGTCACCTATAAAAGGCAGGAAGCAAACAATGAGTACTGGCAAGCAATCAGCTCTGCATATGGACACATGACACACCAGAGAAGGAACAAATGTGTTCCTGGCCTTTTAAGAATGTGAATAATAATATGATTAGTAAGTTGATATTATTCTAAGAATCAACTTAAACATCATGAAGAGAATGAGTTCTAGTTTGTCACCAGTGAATTACAATAAGCTTTGAAGACTTTTGAATATTTCAACAAGTAGACAAAATTGTTAACAAGGGAGCTGATAAACCACCTTATTTTATATACAAGAAATAATTAAGGTTTGAGTACTTACTATGATATAGTAGTTGCATCTATCACCAAGACAGCAATCTGAACACACCCAGTCTTGGTACCAAATGTGTGTACACAGGGGCATGTACCGGTGTCTAGTCGTCGCACATTCTGTCTTATTAGAACACCGCTTCGACACATAGTACTGTTTCTTTGCTCCTTGAGACCAGTAAGGTGTACTTCCCCACTTAATTTCAGTCAAACAAACATCCTGATTATACTCGCAATTCTTAATAGTTTTCACGCATTTCTCATTATTATCCTCTTGGTTTTCACAGACATAACACTCCAGACCTAGAACTATTCATAAAATTAGTTAAAAACCGTTAATAAAAAGAAATTCCGTTGTACTAACAAAATAAAGTGTTTGGTTACCATTTATGACTGAAAAAAGAAAAACAAGACAACCAAGAAAACAGCGCTTGTACATTTTGATATTTTAATGACTTTCCGTTTGAAAATAAGGCACTTATTTATTAAATTGTTATGCATGAATGATTTTAATTTATTTGTATACGATCAAACAACGATCAACGACTATTCATTTCAGCTTGTTGCCACACCCGCTTTTGACATTCATTTGTGGTGTTGCCACATTTAATGCATATTACTATTATAGGCCACGGACACAACGATCGAGTTTGTTGAGCTTGATCTTGAAGTAGAGGATGTCAATGGTTTGACGCGATGATATGTCTGAAAATGAAAATATTGAGATACTTGATCCTTGTATAGAGGTTGTAAGTAACTGACTTTATTATTTAATCAAGTAAGCCAGTCTGTAAAGAGGTCTCTTGATCTTCACTTTTTTTCCAACTATAATCCATAGAGGCAGTAGAGCATTTCAAATCTAAACATCACACTGACAGTACTACACAACATTTAATTTTGACATTTGCTATCCAACAAGACGAAAATTCCAATTTGTTTCTGACGAAAAGTAAATATAAATAAATTAAGAAAAACATAGTTGAAACGATAAATTTGAAATGGAAGGAATTCTCTGGAAGTGGACTAATTACTGGAACGGTAATATACAATTTTAGTGTAGTAAATTAAATTTTTGGAAGTTTAAGTCCTTTTCATTAAAATATAAACGAATGTTTTCGTTCCAGGATGGCAAACCAGATGGTTTGTTTTGGAAAATGGTATTATATCGTATTATAAATCTCAAGAAGAAGTCAGCCAAGGGTGCAAAGGGTCTGTGAAAGTTTCGGTTTGTCAAATCAATGGTAAGTTACATTTTGCGTGATAATGATGTGGCCTGTAAAATTTAATAATATTTGGTCTGAAACCATGTGTTTATGACGTTGGCTTATCAGTAACAAAGCGCCAGTTATTCATTATTAATTTGTAACTGCTATAGTGAAAGTTGTATTGGTTAGGTAAGAGAGTTTAATCCAACATGTATGTCATAGATTACGACATAGTTATACTGAATGTACTCCTTATATGGTAACATAACTACTTAAGCTATAAGCTATGTCATTTACAAATTATGTAGGTCTCAAGAATACCATAGTTCCTCAAAACTGTAGATTAAAACTGGGTATTTCAATATCAATATAATTTATATTTCAGTTAATGCAATGGACAACACAAGACTTGATCTAGTTATACCAGGACAGCAACACATGTATTTGAGAGCACCGTCACCACAGGACAGGCAAAAATGGCTGGTTGCACTAGGAAGTGCTAAAGCATGCGTTGACTCAAAAGATCTGAAAGGTATAAAATTATTAGGCTTCACATTTCCAGAATAAAATATGTACCTACCTATCACAGAAAAAAAAAGCAATGCAGAGTGATCATAATTTATTATCCTTACTTTTTATGGGATAAGGGGCAAATAAAGTTATGGATCACCTGATGGTAAGCTATTAGCTAGGGCAGTAACAGATGTTTGTAAAATACTAGCTTCTTCTATGTGGCTATATCTGCTCTGCTCAGCTCTAATTGATCAAATTGTGATGTTGATGTACGGCCTTTGTCAATAAATGCACTATTCAACACAAAAATAAAACTTCAAATCAGACCAGTAGTTCCGAAGATTACCATGTTCAAGCAAACAAATAAACTGTAGCTTTGTATACTAATATTCAATATATATATATGATCCTAACTGATAGAGACAAGACTACTGCCCCTTTTAGTATACCTTAGGGTATAATCTCGGTGTCTTAAGGCCCGAGTGAATAGGTTGCTTATAGGACAACATGCTCCTTCGTAGACCGCATCATCACATACCATCAGGTGACATAGTAGTCAAATGTCGGTCCTTCAAACATAAAAAAACCTTTATCTATAATTTAGTAACTTTGGTTCTATTTGTTATCGAGTACAAGGTAAACTATTATTCTACAATTCATAATCAGCATAGTAAAGCACTACTCAATATTCTCATAATTTCATTAAATGCTGATAAAATTTATAACTAAACCAATTAAAACGTAATTACTCTGTATAAATTCAATGGAACATTTAAAGATTAGATTTAGATGCAGTTTTTCTTTTTTAAAATTGTTTTTTGATTTGTATTTCCAGCTGCGTCATTAGAAGATACAAACTCATTAGGTCATAAGAAATCTGAGTTACGTTTATATTGTGATCTGATGATGCAACAAGTGCATGCGGTGAAGAGTGCAGCTACTGCTGAAGGCGGTCCTGAGACACAGGTAAATATTATAATATTGTAATAAAGTATTATAATGAGAATAACAACAAATACTTCTTTACTAAACGTAACGTAAAAATGCAACCCATGTATAGTCAATTCACCATTTGAATTCTATTCATCCCATTTTATGGTAAGATGTTATGTGGGCCTATGTAAACCAGTGTATATTTGATTGCCCATAAATGTGACAGTCATGAGGAAAAGATAGAAACTTATTAGTTTTCTACTATCAACAAAACAGGAAGATAGTCAACTAAATAACATGATATAATAATATTTATACTAAATTCAGTCATATTAGTAGTTCTACTTTTGTTGAATTATTCCCATCGTTAAAGACTGTCTCGTTGGCCGAGTGTTCGCAAAAACGGCTACTGGGCAAAGGGTCCCAAGTTCGATTCCCAGGTCGGGCAATTATTACTGGGTTTTTTAAAACAAATCTCAGTAGTAGCACAGATTCTGAAATTGTGCCCGGGTATGTGGCTTAAGGCTCACCCCCTATTGCATGGGACTCATAAAATAAATATTGAAAAGTGGGTGTTACATTGTACAGTGCCCCTGTGTGTTGTTAAGTGCCGTAATGTGGACCTCTGCCTACCCCTTCGGGATTAAAAAGCGTGATGTTATGATGATGTCAAATACTATAACAAAAAATTGTATTTTCTAAATACATTGTTTTGGTAGATAAAAAGCTTTATATTTTCAATAAGGAAATGATTTTATCTTCTATGATAATTGACTATACATTGTTAAAATCATTGTAAAAATGTAATGATACAATATTTTTTTCAGAAAATTGAAGATGCTTCAAGTCTACTCACTGCAACATGTGATACTTTCATAAGAACATTAGAAGATATAATGAGATTAACATCCAATGCAGGACAAAATGCTGCAACTTTTGAGATGCCAATACCAAATATTAAAAATAACAGTTCCAATAAGACTCCTAGGCAAAGTATAAGTCGGACGTTGTCCCAAGAAAACAGATGAAATCTTCCTATTTATTTATTTTTATAACTATGATAAATTCCTATAAAATATCTTAATATGTATGTAATATATTCATGTTTGTAACCCTGGTGATACAGCTTTTGCTTTGATATACCAAAAAAAGAAATATATCAACCTAGTGCTAATATGGCATCCATATTGCACAGGTCTTGTTTATGTAACTTTGTGTTGAAATTTTATTTATAGTTTATTTTGTTTATCTGACATAAATACATGGTTTAATTAAAATTAAAACTACAAGTAATGTAATGGAATTGTATTTGTATTGTAACACTGGAAGGTAAAACATATCTATGATATAAAACTCCGTACTTAATTGTTTCACAATGTATCTCAATTAAAATGGCTAATTGAATGTTTAGCCTAGTACTTGAAACACACCACTATAACAAAATGTTGTTTATTGTACTTATACCTATTGTATCAAGCTTGCATAATAATGTATTCCTGTGATATAAGTATAGCAGCTGTTTGTCACATAAATATATCAAATGAGGCTATCATAATAAATAATAATGCTCTTAAAATTTAATTTGTCATGTCAATGAATTTCTATATTTACTTGTTTTATGTAAATGTAAAATTAATATTATTCTGTAGTATGGATTAGTGTAAAAAGAGACTCATTGCATTATATTGTTATTATAGGTAAAAATAATATTAATACCAGGTGAAAATTGAATTGAAAAGAACTGATTGATTATGAACATTCCAACTATTAATGTTTTAATTGTTTTATACCAAAAATGTTGCACTCAAAATTTTACTTTTACAAATGTTTAGAAAACAATACAAAAATGTATTTGTTATGATTACAAACTGCAACTTTTTAATAAACAATAGTGATGTATATTAAAAATAAAAAAAAGTAGATAAAAACTGAATTGTGTTTATTGTAACCAAGAAAACAAGATGAACTTAACTACCATGAAGGTTCTCCAAATCTTGAAACTGTCTTTTCCTGAGCATCTAATTCGATTCCAGTCTTCTTTCTCATATAGAAAATCGTGCAATCTCTGTTAGTGCAGAGAACCTCCTCATGAAGACTGCCCTGACATCTTTGACACTCAGTCCAAAGCCTGGAAAACTTTTCTTGAAGCTGTCTCAGTTTAAATATTTCTGAAATATAAATCTGTCTCTCTTTGTGTAGGCAGTGGTTGCATAAAGCTTTCACAGTATCACTAGGCATAACAGTCTTACAACCAATACATTTCTCCTTTTTCTTTGTAAAGGCAGCTAAAGCACCAACTTTAGAAGTTACCATTGCTTTGGTTCTAGTATGCTCTCCTTTCAAAAGAAGCGATTCAGCTTTTTCGCCTAAAATTGGTTCAAAAATCCTGAGTAGTGGTTTAGATAGCTGATTTTCCATATAATAACTGAAATCTATCGGGACACTATTTTCTAGTACATAAATAGGATCTTCAGCTTTCATGTAGGCAGGTGTATTTTTAGTAGCACAACATATAACATAAGGGACTCTGTCTCCAAGTTTGGGAGCAGTACCAGCATCTCTTTTCTTCATTTTGTTGGCTAATTCTACATGAGCCTGTTTTGCAGCATAGTCATTTTTTGTAAGCTCCTTTGTTATGACAAGTTGTGATATATCTATGCGGTTACATAACAAATCCGATATTATTTGTTTAGCATAATTTACAGCACCATCTGGATCTCTATCAATAAGTAACTTTTGAAGGCATGTGCTCATCATGTTGGAAACTAAAGGGCAGTTGTCTCTTCTCACTGTTTCTATACCTTTGCAATCCATTTTATCATATTTATCTGGTTTAGTGAAATATAGACCAGCATATCTCTTCTTGTTAATCAGTAAGTATGGGTAATATACTTTTTCAAATTCTAGTTTGATTGGCTTCACAAACTTTTCTGTAACAAAATCAGCAGCTTCTCGACCTAGCTCCATACTTTCCTCTAGAGTTTTTACACCAAACTTTACCATCACAGAATCAGTATCACCATAAATAACTACTGCATCTTCCTTATACCCATTTGCTTTTGTATATTTCTTTTCTACTTCTGACTTAGTGAATTCTATCATTGTTCTTCCATAAGCAGTTACACTACCTGATATTTCTAAACAAGGAAGCTTGCCAACTTGTGCTCCTGTGAACCCATAGACAGAGTTAGCACTTATTTTTAAAGCTAGTTGCCTGCCATCAAGAACAGATCTTTTGAATGGATCCTTTTCATTCTTCAAATCTGCCTTTGCCTTCTTCCTAGCAGCAAGCAGTGATTCCAAAATTTCAGGTAAAAGACCTTTTCTAACACTTGATTTCACAAACATGTTTTTAGAAGGTGTCACAGTTACATCATTTTCACTCAAATTAATTTTATTTTGCATATTAGGTTGAACCAATGTGGTGTAACATAAATTATGTGCCATCATTATACTGGGATATAGAGATGCAAAATCCAAGGTCGAAATAGGATCTGCATAATATCCTTTTTTTGGTTCTATTACAGTGGCTCCTTCAAATTGTTCGTCTGAACCCTGTCCATGATAAGCAGGCATTAAGTAGCCTGCTTCCTTAGCTTTCCTTAGTAATTGACTGACTACCTTAATTTGTTGACCTCTAGTGAGCAGACAGAGTAAAGGAACACCAGTTACTCTGGCCATTTCCATATAATTTATAATACACATCAATTTATTCAGGAGCTTTAGAGGTAAGTATGCATCTTTCAGACAGTACATGGCCAATCTCCTTCTAGTTTGCTCACTTTCATTTTGAAGGTCTCCAATGATACTATGATGAACATCCTCCTTTTGTTCTTGGAGAAAATGATAACTGACAGCATTCAAGGTATATGATCTGAGTTTATAATCTCTCACCAAAACAAGCAATAAGTCAAATGGAACTCTGCCTTCAAAGTTAATACTTTTGTTTTCTCTGCGACCCATTTGTTTAGATTGCAAAACAGAATCTTTTATTACAGATCTAATATTTCGAATGCGTCCCAAAAAGTCAAAGTTGTCGACTTTTAAATGTTTTGCCCTGTTTATTAAGTATGGCCAATCAAAGTTATTTATATTATAGCCAGTAATTATATCTGGGTCAAGTTCACGGAAGAAATCAGACCATTTGGCAAGCATTTCAGATTCTGATTGAAAGCTTAAAACTTGTGACCCTACTATGGGTGCACAAGTATTCAAAGTGAAAACATTTCTTACATAAGGTTCAGGGTCCCCTTGCCTGATTACCATTGAAGCAATTTGGATAACAGGATCATGTTGTGGTTCAGGAAAAACACCTTTGCGACCAGCACATTCAATATCAAAACTCAATATTCTGAAAGGTGCAACTTTAGACCACTCTCCTTCTGGCTGATGGGCTATAAAAGCATTCCATGCTACATCTACTTCAATTTGACATCTAGACTCAGGCTTTACTTGTGAATCTTTTGATCTCAGAAACCATTTGTTCACTGGCAATTCAATCCAACTACAACCAACTACTGATGTGTCAACCATGAATCGAATATCAAAATCTATATTACTCTCAAAAAATAAAGGATCCATTAAACCAAATGATGTTGGTTGTCTTTCCATTAGTCTTTTAGCAGCTGCGATCAGCTTGGGTAAAGCAACAGACACTCTTGCAAAGGTGATATCTTTATCTCCTTGATAGTACATAAGAGATCTAGCTTTCACTAAACGCACTTCCAGAGCAGTTTCCTTAATATTATCCTTGTTAGATCTCAAATCCTCCAGTATAGCCTTATTTAGCATATGTTTTAAATGATTACATGATGATTCAGTAAAATTAATAGGCACTGTTACATAGAAATATGGAGTGAATCCATGAACATGACAACAAACCGAATTTCCATCCATAGTGATACCATACATTCGCATAATAGGAACAGGAGCAAGCTGCGACCCAGGCATACCTGGCATTGGTTGTCCATTGTAGTGATCAATGTCTATCTGTTGAAAGACTAATGTATCTTTCTTAGGATCCATTGTTGGAGGTGGTGGTCGTGACCACTTAATGTTAGAGGACTGATTTTCAGGGCCTTCACCAAATACTTCTTGCGATTCAAAATCCGTTTCCATACAAGCAAGTTGCTCTTCAAAAGTACATGGCACTTCGTTATCTTCGTCATCGTCACCGGATTTTAATCTCTTTGGAGGCGGTGCCTTACTGTATTGCCTCTTTTTATCCATTATTTATGCTTTGTGTTGCACTATGCAGTTTTTATTAGATAAAGTGAAGACGGTTCCCGCCAAAATCTGTAAACTGAAAGGTTACCGTTAGTTTTATAGGAAATACCTATTCTATGAATACTGGAATATAATAATAAAGTTGTTTACTCACTTTCAACTGAACAATTTTATTTACAACAAATTATTTACACTATTGCTGTTGCATTTATTTATTTAATTAAACCGTTATCGTACTGGATCTCGAAATCGCGGCGAAAATGCATACACCGGCTAATGTCAAATGTCAAAATTCATGACTGACGACTGTCACTGTCATCCTGTCAGATGTGAACCGAATAATTTCACAATGACATACCACGACAACAGCTGTCAATAATTTGTTAATGTTGTTAGACTACAAAATTTTGTAAATGAACCGCGTTCTTTTTTGGTAGAAGATTATCATTAATTGTAATTTGTTAGGGCTTGTTCTATAGCACAAGTTACAAAGGATAGTGGTAGGTAATTAGAAAAACGGATTTAAAATATAAGTATGACTGAGAAGGTAAGGTAAGGTGCCTAGTTAGTTCAACATATTGTGCTTACTAGATAGGTGGCGCTCTGTATTTGTGACTACTATTACCACATTTCGCACTAGGTGGCGTTCTGTTATTTATTAACGGACTAACGATTTTTAAGTTGCTTTTGTAAATGAAGGCATCTGAAAAGTTGTTCCATTTTACAGAGCTTCGTAGCCAAATTTATAGTTAAGTATGACCTAGACAGAAATATCATTTTGCAGGTATATACGTACCTATGT